GCAAAATACTCGACAGAAATGCATCTAAATGCACAAAAAAAAATCGAAATTCAAATGACAGATTCTGTAAAAACAGACATTTCCAACATTTAAATCTCATTTCCGGAATTTCCAGCATAACCCGACTTTCAGCTACAGTAAAGGGGAAGGAAATCAACAAACAACGCCCCCACGACAGCACCTGTTGATCGAAAGTGGTTACAGATAGTTAAAGTGTCCTATACAAAAACATCGCAAATAAAAACATGAGCCTAGAGCTACAATCTCAAAAAAATCAAAAGCCACAAAAGGCAAGCAAAGCATGTGAAACAAAATCAGTTGAAGTGCGCTACAGCTAAAATATGAAAGTGCAGGTACAATCTCAAGAGCTGCATGAAATGGCATACCATACTTTACATAACTTTTTAAAAAAAAAAGAATTTCATGAACATTTTATACTAGTGGAGTAAGCCACGAAACTCATTTAGCTGGCAAACAATTCCTTAGTAATATTCTAGGACAATGACTCTGCATGTCGGATTCAACCTAGTAATGCAAAATATTGGGAGAAATTGAGATTAAGTTTAGCTCTATTACTTCACAACATGATATCAAAATAATGTTGTAATGATTATGAAAATACATACAAAGAATATTATAGTTGACACAACCATCGAATAAATGGAAAATTTTAAAAAAAAATTATTTCAAGGATAGAGAGCTTAGAATTCGCAAAACAAAGACTAAGTATGTGATGACCGTTTAGAGAGTTTGATATCAGCAATTATCAGTTAATATTTTTATAAAGTACTACCTAAATGTGGCAAGCTCAAAAAACATACATATTAAGAAAAAAATAAGGATATAATTTTTTGAGTTAAAGTTTGATAGTTAAAAAATTGAAACAGAGAAGAATTCAAGGAGTATTATGCAATAAGTGTATATCATGAAGATTCAAACATAAATTATCTTCACAATTAGGCCGGTTAAGTTGTATGAGCCCTAGTGTTTGGAAATAAAAAATTGTTTAATGCTAAGTTAAGGGTGGAAAAAAATGATAAAATTAAAATGGAGATATGACAAAAATAGGCAGAATGAACAGAATAATGATTCCACAAAAGAGACTATTAGAGTGGTTATTAGAGTGGTATCTACTGAAAATAAACTTCACTGATTTTGATATACAACACGAGGAAACCTAAAGTTGCCAATTAGAGTGGAAGGAGTGGTATCTACTCAAAATAGACTTCACTGATTTTGATATACAACACGAGGAAACCTAAAGTTGCCAATTAGCAAAATGGAAGGATTAAAAAGTACAATGGTAATCAAGCTAACCCAATAATTGGGATAATTTTAATGATGATGATGATGATGATGATGATGATAGAGATAACCCAATCACCTAACTGAGACCAAAATAAGAATAGAACAAAATCTATGCAATATAAAGCAAACATGGATCATTTAGTGCTGCAATTTTACTTTGGCTATGAATTAGAAAAAAGTTTCTTCACTTTATCAATATGGAGCATGGGAAAAGAAGCATGGATGTAAAAGGCTAAAAGCACCTTTTGCCTGCACATTTAGACAAAAAAGTAAGAACATATGTAGTGTTGAGAATATTTTGCGTAATATGGGACCGCTTTAAGGTCTATGATTTCTGATACAACTAAATGATACAATGAATGAAATTCAAGCATTCAAGACATAGCATTCATTGATGAAAGACCACCATTAAAACAATTACTCACTCTGTTTTGAAGCAAGCTAAGAAATACAAATAATCAACTTCAAATTATAATTAATGATTACCCAAATCAAGAAAATTCTATCAAACAATTGGTAACATACAAAAATGTTTTGATTAAAAATCACATCATGAGAAAAAAAAAATTAGCTAGAGTGCTTTTGATCAAGTAAAATCAATCTTGATATGTCACCAAAAAAATCCACACGATCACGAAAGAATCTTGATGCATTTTGGATGAGTTGACTTTTAAAGTCAAATGCAAGATTATCTAAGCTCCATTTTTAGCAAATTTATAGTAAAACTCAGTCTCTCAACAATATGAACTCAACAACATCAATAGTGATTCAATCCGAGTTCAATCAGTTAAAAATAAAACACTTGACATATAATTGAAAGCTTCAAACAATGAATTGAAAGGTCAAATGATCTCAAAATTTGGCGTGCTTATAGTCGAAGCTAATGTCTCAACAAGAAAAAATCATTGAGCTTAAAATCAGTCAATTATAAGGTTGTTAAGCACTTAAATGTTGAAACAATAATATTTGATCAAAGAAAGCAGCACATATCATCTAAAAGTGTTTTTCAGATTATAGCTAAATTTACTAGAGTGCTACAATATAAATGGTACCGATTTTCAACATGAATAAAGATTGTAGAGTTGAAAACTAAATCTGAAGTCATGAAGAGAGCTAAAAACCAATGATCACCAACAATGGCCACTGACCAACATTAAAAACTATTATGATCCAACTATCGTCATTCGATTATTTTAGCCTGATTATTCTCTCTAAGATGTTATTACATGAACAAGCATTCATAATTTAGTAACCTCATCTTCTCCGGTTGAGAAGAAAATTGAACTCGGTTACTTCAATTATATGGTACACTATTTTGGTTGAACCATACCCCATTATTTTCCCCTTTTTAGGGTTTTCACTTAAAATCTTATTAAATCACATCACTTTTATCTGGGTGTGCTAGAATTCCTATTGAGCTAATAATTAATTTTTTTTCTACTAAGGAAAATAAAATTCAAATTATGTAAACAAAAAGAATAATAATGTAGGCAAAAAGAAAAAAGTAGGAGATTATTAAGTAAAGAAATGTAGCTTCAATAACTTCATTTAAAATACAAGATCACACAAACTGGCGTGGGATGGGTAGCTAATATTAGTATTGCACAAGTTGCTAAATCGCGTAAGACCCAAGTGTACAACTTGAGGTAAAGCTTGTGAAGGAAGTAGCCGCAAAACATAACAATGACGTGAAGGATCACTTATGGGATTGAGTTTCACATCAGTCTACCTGGCTTAAAAAAAGGTTAAGAAAAAACACAATTATGACAAATTGAGCATTTGGTATTTATAAAATAAAATCTTGATATAACTATTGAGTTTTCTAGAAAGTAATCCATTAATAATTTATGTAGTTCCACTTTATTAAATACCTTTGGTAAACCATCATCATTGGAAAAAATGAAAATATCACCAATAATAATTTTAGAAATAACATTACTGTAAGGGTCCAAGAATTATGTAAATGATTTGTTGGATGTGAATGAATCTAAGTCATTAGTTGCTATGATACCAATTCAATGCAAAATGTCTTATGGTTCAGAGCTACTAAAGCAAATAACTGATACCATTAATAAAATTCATGTGCAAAAGCTTCAGATTCCAAAGTCTAAAAACTACCAATTAAAATAAAACCTTTTTTTAATGCAACTAGAAAAAGACAAACAAATTACTCTAAATGATAATTTAATTATAATTTAAATTGAAGAAATTCTACAGAAATTTTGAATACATCTAAAATTCACACTTTACCGCAATTAATAAAATTAGTTACAGTTATAGCAAATTTATCTAAAATCAATAACACCATAAAAATTAAGCTCAAATTATGTAGATGAAATGAATAACATAAAAGATACAAAATAACGATTTATAAGCCTCAGAAACAATATAAAGAGGAGTTATCTTGAAAATGTGCAGTCAGACTTGCAACAAGCTTGAAGTATTCAACAACCAACAAACTCACAAATTTGAAAAGCTAGATATTTCTTCAAGCAAAACCTAACATATATGTGCCTTAAATATCCCTGTTATAATTACAGGAAATCCCTAATCATAGTTGGTTGCTATAGATTTTCAAAACAAAATAATGCAGAAAATCAAACTCCAAGGTCTGAAATCAAGTGAATATAAAAAATAATTGATAAGAAAGAACGAATAGGCACTAAAATAGCACCAAAGAGAACACAGGTGAATAAGAGAATACCAACTTCAACAATTCCATTGGGATCAGCAAGTTTCGGGAGAATAAAGGATCACACAAATTTGCATAAAATCGGGGGCTCAAATAAGACTCGCACATATGTCTTGTAGAGGAAGCTCGGGAACTAAGCCAGCACAAAACTTGACATTAGCGCAATGGATCAGGTATGGAAAAGAGTTCCTTGTCATTAGGGCAGTAAGAGTGTTTATGAAGAGCGCTAGTCAGTCCTTGATAGATAATTATGAATAAAATAACATATATATAGGCATAGAGATACTCTACTAGTATAATATTTCCATCTTCATCCAGATCTTTTAAGACGGGTCATAAAGACTAACAAGGTGTTTAGTGAGTTTATTGTCAGAAATCTATGTCTTCGAAATGAAATAATGCAACTTTGGAGATCATGCCCTAGACCTTACACTATCAATAACAAGTAGTTTGGTACTGAATGATTCTAAAAGAGAGTATTGACAATATGGCTTTAAGCAGTATTGCAAAACTCCACTCCCCATGTAAATGGTGGCAGCAATTAAAAGAACAAGAAAGTAAATTATGGAGAAGACAAAATTAAGCATCAAACCATCCAAAATAAAAATTGAATCTAATGTGACAAATCATTCCCGGAATGCAAGTTCAACATAAATTAGCTAAGTTACTGATAGCCAAAACAAAAGATAAATAAGGGCCTAAAGCAATAGCAGTATCATAACGAGTTTGTAAAAAGAGGGAAATTGTTCCTTATAGTTCCCTTTCTAACCATATATAAGAATAAAGTGAAATTAGAAGTTGACTTCAACACTCATTAATTGGAAAGAAATCGATGAAATCAACGCAACGCAAAAGTCACATGCCAACAAAACTAACTAAATTCTCAACATTACCTCAGGATATATATGCATTTAGAGTATCATTTGAACCCTAATCATGAGACCAAGCTAGTTGGGGAAAAGTAAAAGGATGTTTCCATAAAAGTTTGCCTGTCACCAACCTCAAACTGTTCCAAATTTTTGTAGGCTCCACTGGATAGCTTCTTCCGTACTGTACTGAAATCCATAGGATGCTTGATGACTTCATGATAATCTGGGAGCTGGAAACAGAGAAGTCCCCACCATGTCAATAAATGAAATCGCAAAAAGACAAAAGATTAAGCAAAAGGAAAGTATGACTCAGCAGCACACCTCCTCAGGATCAACTGGCTCTGAGAAGACTCCATATGTATCCTTTCTGAAGTTAAGCAGTAATATCTCATCCAAATCAGTATAATTATCAAAGAACAAAAGCTAGAACTAGCTAAAAGCATAAAGCAAACTACAAAGGGCTCTATGAGTAAAAAAATCTCAGGAAAGCAGCCAAAGGACGCACTTCTGCAGCATATCAAGGATGAACAACAGCAACTTTTTGTCCGGCAAAGTTGTCGCGGGCCCCAAATTCGATGTATCCGCTGCGCAAGGCACAAACAAATTGCTTAACAACCACAAAAAATTCATTCGTATTGATTTTTTCTTCGCTCCAGTAGAATTAAATGCATGAGCATCAAACCTCGAAGTAACTCCGTCGTTTTCAGTGAGCTGTGCCTGTCAACCTGAAAGAAAACAAAGGACCATTTCCGCAAACAAGTTAAAGGAAACAGCCTAAAAGCTAGGAATATGAAAACGAAATCACCAAAGCAGGAGACTGCGTCTGCCCCATACCAATATAAAATGAGATCAGAAGAAACAAAACTGACGCAAGGAGAGAGGGAAGTGAGCAGAGCAGAATGTGAGATTTTCCGCCAAAGAATAAATCAACAGTAGATTATTTCTGTGAATTTAAAATTAGGAAATAGCCTCCAGGTAATTGGACTAGAAAGATTCGACAGGAAAAATAGTCGGGCGTAAAACGATCAACGCGTTGACTAAGTCAAATCTGAGAACTCAAGCAGCCCGGAAATCCACGAGAAAAAATCCAAGTGAAATCCAACCGACATGGACGCATGAATTATCGATCCGAAGACAAACCGTACCAAATACCATACATAAATAACTACCGCCACGGAGTCCCCCGATCTCCGCGCCTCCGCACCCAATCAGCCCGAACCAGATAAAACCAGAGTAGTACTGACCTTCAAGCGATCCCCACCACCATCGAATGCCTCGATCTTTCTCTTCCTGCGTGAACCCGATCCCTCTTCTTCCGATTCGGTGCCCGACGGCCCCGAATGCCGCGGTGAATTTTCTGAATGGTCGTCGATTCGGAGTACGAGCTTAAGTTTCTTCTCCCTCCGCTTCCCGATGTTACCTTCATCCTCTTCCCCATCAGCATGCAAGTCTGACACAGTCTCGATGATCGGATTCCGGCGGGCGCTCCGGCGGCCAGTGCCGGCGCCAGTGTTGGGGAACCGGAGGTATGGATTGGGGTTGGGGTTAGGGTTAGGGTTTCTCTTCTGCTGTTGCTCCTGGAGTCGGAGACTACGCTTCTGGAGATCCAAGAGAGAGGGACGGCCCTTCTTCTTCCTCTTCCTCTCCACTGTCTTTCCCATTTCGGACCCGCCGCCCTCCTCTTTCTCTCTCCTCCCACACACTCTCTCTCTAGAAACAGGGTCGAATTTTCGCTTTTTTTAAAAAAAAATATTCTTTTTTCTAGAACGGAGGCTTTGAGCCCCGTCACACGTGTCGGGCTATTGGGGGGTACTTATAGCAGAGGCTCGACCGCGTGGGGAGATGCTGACGTGGTAGAATGGTAGGGTGGTGGGCTGCTGGTGTAGTTTAGTTGTGACTTTTCATTGATACGGTGCTTTGCCATCAAAGCAAGCCAAAACCAACTAGATATTGTAGGTCTCATTTTCTAGAGGATTTTAATTTCGGACACAGCATGTTCGGACGATCAATTATTTGGCACGGTATAGTCATGCACATAAGCACCGATCGACTTTGCCTCCGATTGTTGGTCGTCTGCCGTCCGGACATATAAGTCCAGACGTAATATTCTTTCCTCATCCTCATATATAGCACGACTTTTTATCATTTAGTATTAAGCGAAATTATTTTGAATTTTATTTTTTAGTATATGCATAACAAAGATACATGTAAGAAACAAAAAAAAAAAGTTTGACATAAGATATCAAAATGAAAAAAATAAAATCATGTTTTAGGTTATTTTGATTTTACTTTAAATAAATAGGAAATAAATAGTGAAATGTATCTAGTTAAATGTATCTGTTTTGATATTTTTCCAAATAGGTCTTTTTAAGAATTTGATAAGCATTTATAAGGATGTTCTCCCTTAAAATCCTATTTTAGTAAATCATAGTTAAAACATTGCGAAGTATAATAAAGATAGTGTTTAAATTTTGATAAAATATGATAAATATTAGTTTTTTTTTTTTTTCATATATTCATATATGTATGTATGTATGGTGTATGGTGATTTAATTTTCTTCTTATGTAATTATTCATTATAAGTTGGTATGATTCAGTCTGAAAAAAAAAAAACAAGAAAAAGAAGAAATTTTTCGACAGCAACCTCTTAAAATAGGAGGGACTGATATGTCCTAAAAAAATTTAATCCTGCGCAAATCTCAACGCATTTTGAATAATAAATGTCTCATATTCAACTTCAAGATCATCAAAGACTCCGATCCCAACAATCTTATTGTCAAACTGACCATCTCGACAAGGCGAGCCCAATAAAGCCAAAATCTATTTGATTTGAGTCTGATCAAGCCATTTAAGTGCAATTAGAGACTTTAGATGAGTAGTTGAATGATTAAATGAATTCTAAATCTGACAAACTTATAGACAACTCGAGCATCTCGTCAACCCAAATCCAATGATCCCGAGATCACTCGATTTTGACATCATTAAGGCACTCAAATGCCATAGAACATCATTCGATCAAAGATACATCTCTGGGTCGTCCGATGGAGTGATCCAGATTCATGTGATATTTATAGAGGATATCACCCACAAAATCTATAAATGGACCCTACTCTCTGCATGAAAATGGACTTTGGACCGGGAGTTGGAGTTGGAGGAGAAAACTAAATGTGTCCAATCTTTTGAGGGTTTTTAAGCTCCACCAGTGTCACATCGTTGCAAAATGGTCGTTGCTGCTGTCGCTGGATCACCGTTTTTCTAGTCGACATTGTCGAGTTGCGACAACCAACATACCATCAACGTGGCATCTCGCCACTGCAGACCAGCTTTTGTTACAGTCAGAGCGCAATTGCCAAGTCGCTGCCACCACTGGACCCCTATTATCACTTCCTTGCCATTGCCAATTGGCCGCCTCCACCATGAGATCAACTATTAAGCTAGTCATATCGTCAAGCTGTTGCCACAACCAGTCCACCGTTGCCGCTTCCAAACCACCTCCGATTAGCCGCCACCGTTACCGGACAGTCGTTGTCAGGTTGTCGTCGTCGAGTCACTGCGATCGCCGAACCACCATCCCCGTTGTCACCGCCACTGTCAGACCAACGTCATTGTCACTTTCGGACCACTGTCGCCTCTTCCATAATATTGTCGACCAACCACCACCATCAAGTTGTCACCACCAATTGACCACCATCGATCACCACCATCGAGCAATCTCCACTGCCATACCATTATTGTTACTTCCTAGCTACCAACGACCAGTTGCCACCATCACTAGATCTCCATTGCCTAGTTGCTAACTTCAAGCCGTCGAACCACCGCTTTTCTGTTACCTCCGTCAAGCTGTCACCACCGTTGGACCATTATCTCCACTTCTCGGCCATCGCTATTTGGCCGCCACACCAAAGACATTATCATCGGGTTTTCTTCATTGCAACCAGATCACTGTGACTTTCTCAGCATTCTTTGCCTCTTCCCTAGCGAAAGTCACATCCCGCTGGTGTAATATTGCTTTGAGCTATTCAAGGCCCAATAAATTTTTGTAATATGCATCGATATTGTAAAATTATTTTAATTGTGCTAGACCTCATAGTTTTTGTCCATTCGGGTTTTTCATGTAAATACTCTTGCAGTCTTTTCTATCGATTTTTTTTTTAGCTGTGTGTGTATATCTGATCTTTGTACAACATTAAACTGTTAATATATCACTCTATTACTACAAATTTATCAGCACTCAATAAATCTTATCCATAAATTGGCTGCTAATCATTCTCTCTCTCTCTCTGTAAAAAGGAATGGTCCCCACTCTTTATTTACATACTTAAGGGCCCTCGATATTCTCTTTTATTAGAAGAGGAATTACCCTCACCCTTCGAATTCAAGCATTTAGTTTACTTTTAAGTGGCTGATTGTATGAACACTTTCAAGTATTACTAGCTCAAGTTATGCCATCGATCCACTTGAAGGAGAAAAAAAGTCATTGATCCACTTGTAAGAAAAAAATAATGCGATTTGGACATTTTCACTGGAGATATTGCATGGATTGTTGCTTTTTAATTCATACAATTGTCATCTCCCGGAAGAGAAAATATTCTATCCAGACAGTCAATCACTAGCGGTCACCTTATCATGCATGTTATCGAAGGGTAACGTGACCGCCAGTGATTGGTCGTTCGGACATGCAAATATCCATCTATAATATTTTTTTCCTCCTAGAGAGTTTCAACATAATCATCTTTAGTGATCTCCTTGGCCTTCCAACATCATATTTCTCTGCAGCTCCAAATGATACCTTCTTAACTTTCAAAAGATGAATTGTTATGACTAACCTCAATCACCAACTAGACAATTTCTTACATGACTTTACATGCTATTTTGAATCACGCCACCTCCATCTTTAAGGAGAAGACTAACGCAGTTGGCTACATCAGTTTCATTGATTTCATTACATCACCGTTGAAGATATACTAGCAATACTTACTACCTCATATTTTGCATTGAAACCATCTCCGAGTTGAAATAAGGCAATCCTTAGAAATTCAAATTTATTATTCAATATGAACTATTTTAATAAGACTAGGCTCTATGATTTATTCCTTTTATAGTCTTTACATGTAAATTCTTTTTGTTATATGTTTATTTATTTATTTCTTTGACTATGCTGAGCTATCTCTTCAAATTAAAGTGACTAACATCTTTCACTATTTTGTGATTCATGCCATGCAACAACATAATCTATTTTCTTAGTAGCTTGATTGCATAATAAATTATGTTTAATTTTTTGAAAAATAAAGACTATTATTTTGAAGCGATAAATATTATGGATAACATTTTAAAAATAGAAATGCGAGTAATGATATACTATAAATAAAATCCGCTAATCAATTTATTTCATAATATTTCACAGTATATATTGAGTTCAAAATTGTTCAAGAATCACGCTAAAGGAATTGAGCGGAAATACCACTAGTTCTATGTAGTCGGCTGGAGATGGTCGACTGGAGGTTGATTGAGTTTATCAGGTTACATATTAGTTCCATGATTCTCTTATCTCTTTGAAGTACATCTAGAGAAAATAATAAGAGAATAATAAATATGAAACTAGAATTATTCGTGTCTGCAATATAAGTGGATGCTTTTCTCCAAATACAAGTTAAAATATAGTTCAAGTAGAAATGAGTAGGGTATCTATGTATCGACTATTCATCTGGCAATGGGCTCTTAGCACTCCTACAGAATTCCATCATGGAGGCATATTGGCTCACCCTCAGGGTTTAGTCCCAGATATATACATATTAATGTAAGAACTATAGAAGGGATCCAAGCCGATTTCTGAAGTTTGTATCTAAAATCACAGGGAAATTTACCTACATACCACACAATACTTAAGGATTTACATATCTAACATCTAAAATTTAATATTTACATTTATAACATTTATGTGTCTTAAATATATGTGTGAAAATGTTTATTTTATTTTTTAAAAAATAATGATTATGATATTTTGATGTGATGTTAAAGAATCGAGTGATATACATATAAATATGAATGTGTTATGGTATGACTCATATATCATATAAGGACAGACACTTGATCAAAGCAGAGCGCAGCAGAACGGAAGAATTTGTCCAAATCGGGAAGTTATGTGGGTTGGGGGTGCGGGGGCAACGCCCCGCGGTACGGTACAAGAGTAATGTTGTAATTATGTATTGTACTTAGGGTTTACTCCGCTAATGTGGTTATAAATAAACATGTTAGTAACCCCAGGAGGTATCAATGATTTCTGTATTTTCTTTTCTGAATAGTGAAAGAACTCGCTGCTCTGTTTCCGAGGACGTAGGCATCTTTGCCGAACCTCGTTAAATCTTTATGTTCCTCTGGATTTGTGTCGATTCCTATTTTTTTCGTTCTAATTTCTCAACAGAATGCTTAGATGTTGATATATAAATGCATAAGAATTATGTAGCATGTATGTAAATGCCCCCATAAATTTTAAAGAATTAAAAAAGATTTAAAAATGCAGTAGACTAAATTTCAGAAATCTGAAATTTTTCTTAATTTAAACCAAAATTTAGCTAGATTTGATTTTAGATTTAAATTTTAAAATCCCTTATAAATCACTTGAAAAATTTTAGGCAAAACCTTATCTAAATCTTACTAAAAGTTAAAGGAGCACTCTAATAACCTTTATTGCTACGTAATTCCTAAAGTGAAAATTAGGATTAGTTTGGGGGAAAAAATTTGCGTACGTTAAGGGGTACGCATCTCTGCATACATAATAGTGTACATGGGAGTTATATGTGGGAGTTATATGAGAGTTATATGAGAGTTACAAGGGGGTTATAACCTGTTGTACCTCCCGTTTAACTCCCGTGTAACC